GAATTGCCCTTAAGAATTGCCCTTAAAACACCATTAAAATCAGCTCTGAATTTGTTTTTTTATTAGTTTTTTTTATTGTTTTACCTTTTTTTTGATCATTTGAGTTTGACTGAGACTGACTTTTTGTTCTATTTTCTTCTTCTGCCATTTTGAAACATTGAGGTGTTCAATTTAAAGTCTATATTAGGAAATAAAGCCTCATAAATAAATAGTTCCTTGTTTTCCACATTTCTTGGTATTCTTTGAGCCTACATTCAGTACAAGTAAAATACTTAAGTTCTTTTAAAATTGGATACTTTACGACTTTTACTCAAGTCTTATTGGAATTGGTGACTTGTAACTTGTAATGGAGTAATTTATACAGTAAGGTATCTGTACTCTTACTCAAGTATGGTTTTCAGGTACTCTTTACACCTCTGCACTGATATTAACATTTTTGCAGTTCACGGACATTACATTATAAATGGCATGCATAGAAATACATCAAAAAATAATAAAATAAGTTACAAAATAGTTGACTGCATAAACACATTTTTTTTAAATGTACTGATATAAAATATTAATTAGTTTTCATTTGCACATATTTATACTATTTAAAGCTCAGAAATTTGAAGCAGTTATGTTAACTGATATATCTGAGTTCAGTTGACTCATTCTTTTAAGTCTGATAAGTTCAACCAAGGAAAACTTAAATATTTGAATTATCTCAACAAGTTCAATCCAGATAAGTAAACTTGACTCAAAAGGTTAAGTTGTGATAACTAATTGGCGCAATCATTTTTTTACAGTGTAATAATCCTTTAGGTGAGTGTAGGTCATTGTTTTGTGGCAAGCAGGTTTTAAATAATGGTTTACGGTTTATTCTTTACAGTTGCTGTATAATGGAAAAATGGAGTTCAGAGTGATATTGGGTTCGCATGTTAATGGTAATAGAAATGCTACCCTAAGGAACTGACTTTAAAGGGGGGGGTGTCAGGGTATTGTGTATTGGTTAATGTGTTATATCATCCACCCACTAGGGGGCCTCAGTGAGTTATATATCGGCAGGCTCCAGGCAGGGACACGGGTCGTCTCCGTTGGTTGTTGTCTGTAAAAGAGCACACGAAATTGTGTACTGTTCCACTGCATTCATAATAAACAAGAAAGTGATGAATAAATGCCTCCTGGTAAATAAATACAAGACACATACCTATTCATGAGCTTTAGACTATAAAACCTGGCACCTCAGAACAAAGCCGAGGGGAGTAGCAGAAAAAACATCAGCCCGAAGAGAGGCAGAGAACATCAGCCCAGGAGAAGAGAAGCCCACAAGAAGCCCTTCTGAAGCCTCTAGTGAAGGCCCAGCTGGACAGAGAACTGCAACCAAGACAAAGCTTCACATGGAGAGAGAATCCAAGGGGCTCCACTCCACTGCTCCAAACGCTGTGCCTTCCTGAGTTCCATCATCCCATCAGCTCATCAACCTCTGCAACCAACTGCCAATCATTCTAACAACCTGAGCTGTTCTGTTAACCTGCTGTATGACTTTAGGGTTGTGTTTCCACAAACTGGACTTGCTTTTCAGAACAGTATTTCCCTTTTAAGGTTACTCATTTAAATCCGGTCATTGCATTTCCATAATTACATTGTTTGTTTCTATTCTGTTATTTTGTGTTTGTTGTTTGTGTTAAGTGTAATGTCTGTCATGTTAGTTAGGAATAAATGCATGCCTTTTACACAACTTCAGCCTCTGTTCATTGAATGCTCACAATAGTCCCTGCCTCTGTGCGATCTGGCTACAAGCTCTGAAACCTCAAACTCGCCTGAAATATCGCAAGACTCTCTCTCATCGGCCATGAGGGGAGCTTCGCTACCAATCGTTTACATTACCTGGTGATGCAGCTTGCTGGACGAGCCTTCTAACCCCGGGTACTAAGCGATACTGGTAATTAGTGAATCCCATTTAAGTCTCACATTAACAGACTCCCGGGGATACAGCAATTGAGTTTGGAGGAGCCGACCATTCGGTATAACAATCAGCATTAAATAATAATTCATTAAAATTTAATTATTTTCAAAACATATTGGTGGAGATATTAAAAATTACCTGAGCTAATAATTCCTACACTGGACAGAATGATATCCCAGAAGTTTAACTGACTTGATGTTATACTGTGATGATTTAGGCCTTGTTCACACGGACGTCTGTACCAGGCGTTTTTCTGGCGTTCGTGGCGCCAGGTGAGCGCCGACTGAATGCCGACCATATTTCTGCTCATTGGAGCAAATCAAAGCGTCCACACGGGCGTCCACACGGGCGTTCAGCACCGGCGTTCGGCCGGCTACGCGTTCAGGTGGCGTCAAATAAACGCTGCATGCAACGTTTTCTTGGCGTCAAAATCACAACGAACGCAAGGAAAACAATGTTATTGTGTTTACATGGCGTTTGGTTGGCATTCTGGAGGACCGAATATGTCCCATGATTCTTTACGGCAACTGCGTACATATATAATTGTTTATATAAAAAATTCTTGTGTGCTGCACAGTTGATTTTACATAATCCTCTGAAATGGTTTAAGTGCATAATAGGAAAATCAAACTAACTTAACAGTCGTATATAAACAAAATATTAATAAAAACTGATAATTCGAAAGATTGTAAGTTTGTGCTAATGACATTACAAAATGACAGATGAATGCACACTTCAATGCTATTTGTATATTGCTTACCTCAAGGTGACTAGTAACCTCTCTTTAGGACTAACACTCACTCGCATATTTGTTGAGTGCCGTGTAATGTGCTGTTGAACCAGTCGCAGTAGACAATCAAAAGTAGATACTGAAATGCAAGTGTAGTTGAAGAACTTCTGCGGAAATCTTTGCATGTCTTCAAAAAGCACAAAAAACGTCCCTTTGGTCTGACGTTGCGCAGTAAGAGGGTGAACCCAGTAGCAGCGGCGATGTTTGTTCCTCTCCTGCCTACGACGCCATATCAGGTGGATTTTTAAAACAAGAATGTCGAACTTAAGTTTTAATAAAGAATAGGGATCCATGTTTTCAATTCAGAACTATAAACCAAGATGACCCACGTGTAAACACTCTGAACAGAGTAATTACTGCCCCCACAGGTAAATACATGAAACTACAGATTGGGCGTCAGGCTGGTGTTAAACAGCGTCAAGCGAACACCAGTCAAATGCCAATTGAACGCAGCTACAAAACGCAGGAAAAACACGTATGGTGTTCAGAGGGCGTTCATTTCGAACGTCCATGTGGACGAGGCCTAAGTGTTCCCTTAGTTTTTTGACCAGTGTATAATGATTATGTAAAAATTATAATTTTTATTTTTCATGTTTTTAGTGATACTCTCAGTTTATTGGGAGTTTTGTTGCTTTTATCTTTTAATGCTTACAGATTACAATTCACTTAATCTCTCTTAAGCCTTTCCATTCCAGCACAATTTACTGGTGAAATAAGGTTTTGTGACCTATAGTGTGTAGCAGTAATATTTCCCTGCCAGTCACTGTCTGCCTATCATCCAGTGGGAACCTGTAAGGTGACCTGCAAGAAGTTTAACTTAGTTACTGACAATCCATCCATCCATCCATTGTCCAACCCGCTTATCCCACTGGGTCGCGGGGGGTCCGGAGCCTATCCCGGAAGAGCAATGGGCACGAGGCAGGGAACAACCCTGGATGAGGGGCCAGCCCATCGCAGGGCAGTTACTGACAATCAGCTCATGAAAGTCCTTCCTATTTCTCCATTTTAGATGTGTGTTAACCAAGTACTAACCAGGGCAGTGTACAGGGGTGGGGCCACAGGGGAACTGGCCCCAGCTGAAAGCTGACTGGCCCCTGGAGCACCCCCTCCCCTCTCACTCACCAATTCAAAGCATTTCATTGGTTGATGAAAAGTTTGGTCCCTCCATATGAATTATGGCCCCTCTTACACCCCCCTCCTTAAAAAAATCTTAGAATAAGTTTTAGAATAAATACTAACTATTTCAGGCCCTTAGTTCAAACTGGACTGCTAATGAGTCCCTCTGGGATTTAGGAATTTAGGATTGTGAAATTAACATAAAAGCAGACAGTTTGGGACATGTCTTTGGAGACACTGGTATCGGTTAAAGTCTGACCTTGTAACCTAAATGTTTCAGGTAATAGAAGTCCAGCTTTTATAGGTAGCAAGATATGTACCATGAAAGTCCTTGGTTCATTACATAAAATATTAAAATTCACTTTTCCTGTAAAGGAATATAATATTAGACATTGATTAAACCTTTTTCCCAAAATTTCCAGAACCAGAATAATAGTCTTAGTTATAGAGATCAAAGTAAATGTATTAGATTATTTTTGTTTTATTTGCAGCTGCTCCATAAACAGCAGCTCAAGATCTGACTAAACAGGGTGAGGCTTTTTTCCAAGATTTATTTCTTCACGGTGCCCTCACACTGTGGCCGATGAGAACATGTTTTCCATCCAGATTATTTACTAAGATTCTTGTGGGTTAAACAGCATTGCGTGTGTCAGCTTGGACCTGCTTGTTTGTAAGCGCAGTGGCGAAATGTTGGGGATCTGTATCCCACCTGACCCCTTCCCTCTGTCCCCCCTCCCCAGGGCAGTTTCTGCTGGAGGAGGCTCGTGTGCAGGAGGCCGCTGAGATGGCACAGAAGGCCGTGTGGCTGGACAGCACTGAGTTTGACGTGGTGTTCAATGCAGCCCATATGCTCAGGTGAGGTTGCTGTGGTGATGGCGAAGCATGGCATGGGACCATTAGTGTAACAAACATTTTACCCAGTAGTCTAGTTTCACTGCTGCATAGAAGCCAACATTTGTTTCTATTTAATGTAATTTAGTTACTGTAATTCATATTGTTCAGTTTGCTGAATTTTGTATATAAGATATTTTAGTAAATGTTGCATAATTAATATAGGTATTGTAATTTACTCAGAGTGCTTTAGCCAACATAGTTCTATTTATATTATCAAAATTGCTGAATTGAACTGTTTAATTTGGTGTACAATATCAATTAGTATTTGTTGCATAGCTAATATAATATACCTGATGTAATTTACCCAGTGTCATTTAGCAGGATGCTATTTAACAGTGAAATATGGCCTAAATGTGTCATATAAAAGAGGTGTCTTATAGCGGGCCAGATGCAGTTGATTCTACCGACATTGTTGTGAACTTGATAAACAGGGGCCCTTTTAACATCTTGCATGGCAGACTGCCCTTGACGCCCTGGAGGAATATGATGGATCCCCCGCTAATCAGGTGAAGCAAGGGGGATTTCATAGTGCCGATATCACCTGGATGTGTACAAATCCACAACTAGAAGCAGCCCTAGAATACCTAATGCTTTAATCATCATTTCACAAGTAGCAAACAAATTCAGTCTTTGCATATCCCCTCATTCTGTCTTATAAGAACCACAAATACGGCTGAGAGCAAAAGCTGGGGTCAGAGCACAGGGTCAGCCATTTATTCAGTTACCTAATTGGAGCAGTTTGTGGGATTAAGGGTCCTGTTGAAGTGGCCAGCAGTGGCATCACTCTGTCGGCTACAGGATATGAACCCATAACGTTCCTAAGGCAGACACAGACTCCTGACCCACAGAGCCACACGTTGGCTTGGTAGCCTTATTGTGTTCCCATGATTTTGTTGCACACCTCCCTCCTCCCACATTCTCACAGGAAGCGTCACCCAAGGCTGTCTACCACTCCTCTGCTCCTTTGATTTCCTGTGTTTTACAGTTGTGAGGCTGCTTCCCTGAACAGAGTTTCTATGGCCTGTCGGATACAGCTCAGCATTCCAGTGTGCTGGGACTTTAAGGCCACGCTACTCAGACCTGTCTATTTTTCCAGTGTAGTTTCCCCCCTCCCCTTCAGAATTACATGCTGGGCTTTTAAAAGCCAGTAGCATTTTATTCACCTCGTAATGGTAAAGTTTACCACATTTGGTGAGACAAAAAAGAGGAGATGTCCTGGGATCAGAATATTAATGACTTGTCATGTTCCCTGACCAATCAGGTAGCACTTCTCTCATGAATAATAATGAGATTCTGTGTTCACGGGCCAGTCAGGTAGTGCGTCTCATATGAGTATTAATGACACGAAAATTCACGTCCAGAGAAATACAGACGTATGGTAACCTTACAGTTAACTCTTGTTTTGTTTTAAAATCTACACACAATATTCGTACGTATATACAAGTTACAAAATGCTAAGCTATAGTTTGTGAAACTTCAAGCAAACAGTGCAATTCACTGTTCACATGAACATGAAAACAAAAATAAAGTGTCATAGTGGCAATGGTTTCTGGAAGCTGTCATCACTCATGGGCAGCGTGACATGTAGGGATATGTATATGGTTTAATTAAACAAGTAAACATGTGCATGACCCTTGCAAGCCCTTTATGATAATACTAAGTGGCTAATGAATATTGTAAATTGGTGCCTTTTCCTTCACTTGGTACTCCACTATAACTTGCACCTTTTTATCAACTTAAGTGAAACGGAACAGCTGAATGTAGGTGTTTACGGGTACTCGGTAAGTCTCCACAGGAGATGTCATACAGAAGACCCTGGGTGGGACACTGAGGATACTGGACTGGAGATCTCACAGGGACGTCTTTCAGACATAGATCTCAGGATCTTATTCTGTTCGTCTAAGGGCTTTATACATTCACTTTCATCTATTTCATGTTGCTTTGCATCTGAAGGGTATCAGGTTCAACCCCGCCCTAGATGTATATTTGAGGAGTTTGCATGTTTCTTGTTTTGTATTCTTTTTTTATATGGTTTTCCCTGGTGTGCTTCTTACAATTGTGTGTGTGTGTGTGTGTGTGTGAGGGGGGAGGGGATCAGATATAGATTACATTTTGAGGACCTAATGTTCCCAAAAACATTTGTTTGACATTGTGGGGATTCAATTTTATAAAAATCTGTGACTGCAATCAAAAAACTAAAAATACCAAAAGGCTTGTGTTTTGTTGTTATGTAAAATATTAAATACAGTACATATTATAATCAATCCATATGTAATATTGCTTCTCCAAATTCATGTTGCTGACCATGTTCAGTACCCAGGGTAAGCAGTTTGTAGGGGTTAGGGTTGTCATTATTGGGATTATGGTTTCTCCCAAAGAAATGAATGAATGGTCCCCACAAAGATATGGATACTCTGCCTTGTTCCCAGTCACTGATCCCTTTATCCATTTCGATTAGTCATTATTGAAGCTGGATGGATGGGTTGTGTATCTGAATGAACTTGCGTTGATAAGATTGCTCAGCCTCCATGCAGTGAATCCAACGTTAATGTGTATAGCACCATCCACAGTACTGTCAGCATGGAGGCGCCTCCATTTACTTTCTGTCCCAGTGGGAAATTTGGCATGTCTTTGATAAGGGACCATACTAAACATGGCACTGACACTGGTCCTGTACCAGTTTACATGTGTCATACATTTATCATGTTAAGTGGTTACCTGACAAAATCTACATGGAAAACTGCTGTAAGTCACTGTTTTTGCAAATGCATGATACTAGATGATAACTTTGATTGTTGCTTAGTGAAAATCATAACACCTTTTTGTTGTATTTGTCAGAGTGTTTTTCGTTTTTTGTTTGTGTGAATCTGTGTCTTACTAAAGTCCCTGGCGTTTCAATTTCTAAAAGTGATGCCCTCTGTGGCCAGTCCTTTGTGACAAAAACAGTTTTAAATAAGCTTGTCAGATGCCTCTATATTTCAAGCCTTTAACAGCAGGGCTCTCAGCTGGCAGCTGGGCTATGTTCGTTACTTAAAAGTAGCAACAGTAACCATGCCCCACTTCCTCTCCACGGGACGTCTAACAGCAGTTAATTCACAAATCTCTTAATTCTCGACTATTAGCTTGCATGCAAGTTTTTGAAAATTATTTTAAAGAAGCACTTGTCCTGTTTATGTGTCTATTTTGCTCTGAAAACTGAGCTTTAAGTTGGTCATACCAGCCATTACTATACATTCTGACTTTGCTACTGAAAAGTTTTAAACAAACGTGATAGAAACTTGTAACTGTATACGAATAATTTTACGTGGCATATAAGGACCTAATTCAAAATAGTGAAAGAAATTCAATGTTTTATATTGTTCATATTTGAATCCATTTTGGTCAGTTCATTGGGTACACTTGTTTGCTAATGCTCCTCCTCTAAACAAATCCAGCCAGTCATGTGGCTGCAACTGAATACACACAGCATAGAAACAGGATTAGAGGTTTGGTTACTGCTCGATTCAGCATTTGAATGGCTGAGGTGCTTGATCTAAGTGATCTTGAAGGTGTTGTGATTGCTGGTGCCAGACATGGTAGTTCCAGCACCTCTATGGCCAGGCTCCTGGGATTTTCACACAGCATAGTGTCAAGAGTTTACAGAGAATGATGTGATGAAAAAAACCAACCAGTCACGGGCCGTTCTGTAGCTGAAAACACCTTGTTAAAGAGAGAGGTCAGGGGAGAATGGCAAGATTTGTTAAAGCTAACTGGAAGGTCAAAAATAAAAGTACAAAAAAGGTGGAAAAGTACAAAAATAACAACTCAGTACTGCAACTGTGCAAAGAAAGGCTTCTCTGAACACAGTTTATTTGTCCTTAATGTGGTTCTGTAGGCAAAAGTGGGACCTAACCAGTACTAGCTAGCCTTGATATTCAGGGTAACAGTTTTTAATGTGATTTTTTTCCCTTAGTGTATAAGAATGTTTTATATCGTGGTTTCTCAAAGACGTTTGAAAATTAATAAAATGCAATTTTCTTAGCGAAAACATCACAACATTTCCTCCTCTAGGCTCAGAAAATGTGGGAGGCTGATCAATTTGTGATGAAGTGGTCTCCTGGCATAAGCAAAAATCCATTTTTATTTTTCCCCCAAAATGTGCATAACTGCGTCGTTCACATGAATTATTAATTTATTATGAATACAAAGGCACACACTTAAAATTCAAGTTGTGGAATGGTCATCTTAAATGTTCACCTGCATTTCCTTCCCTTCTAGTCTAGATATTCACCGTATCATGTGAGGACAACTTTTACCCTTGACTTGCTGTCTGTATTTGATATTTAATTTATCCATTGAACTTGTGGGATCAGGGTTATGGATTACCTGAATTAATAAACTTTCCCCAACCAAAGATATTGAAATTGCTTGGAAATCATGTGATTTAAATTGTAGTTACTTTTACAACATTGTAATTAAGTGGTTGCCACTTTATATGTGGTGGTTCATATGAATGGATTTTGGTTGCTGTTAATGGGTAAATTCAACAGATATATTTTGATTTCTTGATAAAAAACTGGTATATATGTGATGGAGCACTGTTTTGACCATACTTCTTAAATGGATCCTATTGTGACATTGTTAGTAAGTTCCCAGAAGTGAGTTTCAATTACGTATTTGTCACATGATGACATTCGGTTTTGTGTCCTTGACAATTTTGACTGAATTATGAAAGCTAGTTGTGAGGAGAACTGAGGATATGTGGGAGAGACAGCAGGAAGCAGCCTCCTCCAGCAATCACAAGCACAGGTGCATTGTGTAAGGCCTCCCGACAGTCTTAAACAGCAGATATTCAAAATGCTTGGTTTAAGTAGTATATTTATAAGCCGTCTTATGGAGATAAAATGATTGACAGTGTTTTCTGATGAAGTCATCAGACCGTTTGATCAGTCTTAGCTTTGTGTAGCTGTAGTCGCTGTGTC